TGTGACATTGTCACAAATAATTAGAATAGGAAGGGTAAAGTGTCCTAAGAATGGTAAACAGAGTACTAAAGGAGCCCAAATTAAGAAAAGTTTACGTTGGGGAGATCAGAATTCATGGTTTCATGGCATTTGAATTGGACCTTGAACCCTAGAACTTAGACTGGAAATGATTAAAGGAAGAGCATTTGAGGCAATGGGAAAAGAATGAGGAAAGGCAGCAGCAGGAAAGCAGAAGGCATACATGGAATACGGCAAACTGTTCAGTATGATTGGAGTATTAGCTATATAAAGGAAGGTACAACAGGCTACCAAGAGTTGAAAAATTATATAGAACCAGATCATGACTGTGAATGCAAAGTTAGAGATCTTCAGTGGTTAGTCATGAAGAATCATTAAGAACTAATAGGCAAGGGATCTGATCTGGAAAAGAATTTATCTAGCAGCATGGAATGAAATGAATGGGATGAGGAAACATCAATTAAGTTATTGTTGTGAGAACTAACGAGGACCTCAATTATGGTGGTGACAACACAAGAGGGAGAAGGCATAGTTCTAAGTTAGTCAATCATTAAATATTCACTGGTATCTACAATATGTAAGGTGCCATTCCACTCCACTGAGATATTTTAAAAGTTTAATATATCATTCTCATTTTTGAGGAAATTGTGATCTGGAAAAACAAAAACTGTTTAAACACAAAGACCTAATTAATATGGGAATATATGATTAAAAGATAAATGTTACAAAAACTAAAACAAAACTGTACTTGACAAATCAGGAGTGAGGGAAAAAAAGGTCAGGAAAGGCTTTATTAAAAAGTTGGAAATGATCTACACCTCAGTAAGAAGGTAAAACTTCATGAAGATGGAGGGATACTTCACACAAGGGGAAGTTTTCAAAAGTTAAATAATTTGTTTTGTTTTTGGTGGCTGGCTGGTTGGGGCTGACTGGTAGGGGATCCAAACCACGGACCTTGGTGCAGCCAGCCCCTAAAAGTTAAATAATGTGTTTAATAAGACCAAGATATGTGAAATAAATTTTGGTATTTCCACCAAAATGGTAAGCAAACTGCTAGTATGTTAAAAAAAAAAAAAAAAACAACCCCCTCAAAAAAACTCCTCCAATTACTTGAACTTAACTTCATAAGATATTAGAAAAACAAGGCATTAATATACATTACAGCGGGCCGGCCCGTGGCTCACTCGGGAGAGTGTGGTGCTGATAACACCAAGGCCTCAGGTTCAGATCCCATATAGGGATGGCCGGTTCGCTCACTGAGTGAGCGTGGTGCTGACAACACCAAGTCAAGGGTTAAGATCCCCTTACCGGTCATCTTTAAAAAAAAAATATATATATATATATATATACATTACAGCTCTGAATGCTTAATTTTTAGAGGGAGGTTACTTTTAACGAGTTGTATAGGATAGACCTGCCTTTTAACAACAAAAAGTACCTTGAAGAAAGCTTTATTCAGTCACAACTTGAAATATCCAAAATGTTGTTTTCTTATTTGTGAAAGAAGTTCCTCAAAATATAATCTGATAAATTCTCCTTCCTTTTTCATATTTTTTTGGCAGCTGGCTGGTACAGGGATCCAAATCCTTGACCTTGGTATTATTATAACACTGAGCTCTAACCAACTGAGAAACCAGCCAGCTCTGTATAGTTCAGAAATTCAACTGCACCTTCCTCAAAATATATCAATTTATTTAAAAGAAATCCATTCATTCAACCAAATTACTGAGTACCTAATATGTGCCAGGCACTGTTGTAGGGACTTAGAAAACACCAATTAAAAAAAAATCCCTTTCCACCTAGTGGGAGGAGACAGATAATAAACATAGTGTGTCAGAAAGTGATAAATAAATGCAACGGAGAAAAAAACAGAACAGGGTAGGAGGAACCTCCAGGGTGCTGGGGCAAGTTGCAATTTTAAATAGGATGGTCAGAAAGAGTTTAAGAAAGTAGTATTTGAGTAAAGACTTGAAGGAGGTGAGAGAGTCAGTTTGCCATAGTGATACCTGGGGAAGAGTACTCCAGGAACAGGAACAAGCAAGGCAAAGGTCCTGGAGGATCCTAGGAACAGCAAAGAGGCCAGTGAGAAGCCATCAAGGTGGAGAGTAATAGGAGACATCAAGAGAGGTATGTGTGGGGGCCGGCCTGTGGCTCACTCGGTAGAGTGCGGTGCTAATAACACCAAGGCCACGGGTTCGGATCCCATATAGGGATGGCCGGTTCGCTCACTGGCTGAGCGTGGTGCTGACAACACCAAGTCAAGGGTTAAGATCCCCTTACCGGTCATCTTTAAAAAAAAAAGAGAGAGGTATGTGTGGAGACAGAGGGTATAGATTATATAGGGTTTATGGGATGCTGTAAGGAATTTAGTTTCTACTTTGAATGAAAAAGTAATCCACAGAGGGTTTAGCACAGTGTCAAGATCTGTTTTACCAAGTATGTGTGGAGACAGAGGGTATAGATTATATAGGGTTTATGGGATGCTGTAAGGAATTTAGTTTTTACTTTGAATGAAAAAGTAATCCACAGAGGGTTTAGCACAGTGTCAAGATCTGTTTTACCAACATCACTCTGGCTGCTGTGCTGTGAACACATAGCCTTATGGGGAAAAAAAAGTTCTGTCAACCACTGACCTTGTCAAAAAAAGTTCTGTCAGAAAATATTATAAATTATTTACCCTGTATTGGTGTTTCTCAGATTACCTAAAATAACCATCCCTAAAAATCTTATTTCCTTAAGGGGGACGATATTTTTTCTACAAATGTTTCTTTTTATGCTCTAATCTTTTAAAGTAATTACTTTCTTCCAATTGATACTAAATTTGTCAGTATCTGGGTCATTCACTTCAGGAAAGGGCAACCACAAAAAACTCCCACTGTCAAAAATAACACATTTCAAAAAAATGCTCCTTCATGATACCAAAAAAACCTCATTATCATCTAGTCCTGGAAAGGGCAAATTAAGTCCCCATAAATTCTAAAGTTATCCTTAATACTACAATTATCATGAGGACAGGAGAAAGAGAACAAGTCATAGCTATCCAATCTGCCAAGGAAGGGGCTAGGGAGCATAAGAGATTTTGAAATAAAAATTCATACATCTAAAAAAACTTGCTCATAAAACTGAAACAAGCATAGTGGTTGAATAGTATACATGGAGGGTGGGGAAAGACAAAAAGAAATATAAACACAGTTCACTTGCTTCACGCAAACATATCTGGAAAGACATCCAGATTCACCTGGGATTTTTTTGAGACTACCCTGTGACAATTTACACACTCTGGGAGAAATGGGTGTATAAATATACAAAACATAATATTGAATTCAAATTCATTAATTAATTCAGGTGCTTGTTATGTGCCAGAAAATACATGAAACATTGGGGACAGTCCCTGTTCTCCAGGGCTTATATGAGTATTCTTCATTTATCCCAATTACAGAGTACCTACTACGAGCAAGATGCTGGGGATACAACAGCAAACTGGAAACACAGGGTCCCCACTCCATGCAGTTTACACTGGGGGAGTAGGGAATCACCTCAATGATGAGACACACATCTAACTAAACAAAGATATAACACTAAAGTTTTATAGGTATTGTGGAAGTATAGAGGGTTCAGTAAGGACACATAGGGGAGTCAGCCGGGCAGGGAGGGGAATGTCAGGACTTCAGATATGAGGGCTGAGTCCTCAAAGAGGATTAGATGTTCACCTGGCCAACCATGGGGGAAGGGCTCCAAGCAGAAAGAGCAACTGGAGCAAAGGCAAAGGTATGAACAGCCTGGTGTATTTGGTAGGCCTGGAATATAGAATGTGAGAGATAAGTCATGGAGGCTTTTCTATGCCACAATTAGGACTGGACTTTACTGGTATATATGAAAGGCCGAAGGGTTTTTATTCATTAAACCAACATATGTGATCAGGTTTTTCTGGTGTGATGAGACACTGATTTACACAGGAATGAGAAAAGAAAACACTAGATTAATGATGTCACTACATGAAACAACAAAGACTGCCCAGTTAGAAAACTAAACTCCCTTCAGGAAAAAGTTTAAAGACTACTTATTCAAGTCCTTCTGGAAAAAAAGTTTTTATTCAATATCATTTAAAATTGAAAAAGAAAGGTTTTTACATATATATTATGGATTACAATATCTGCACATCTATTCCGAATTTTCAAGAGGTCTTAGCTCTACATTAATTCTGTAACACATCTGTGGCAGTGATTGTTGTACAAAGGCAATGAAACCGATTTAGGAGAGTATTTGATACAAACGGAGAACCATGAGAAACAGAAGGCATTTCTCAAGTTAGGTTTAAAGGTTTCCAAAGTTTAAGACAATCAAGTTTTATTAAGTCAGCAAGTTTAAAAGGTGTGTCATAAGGGTGGAGCAAAAAGAGGAGGAGCTAAAAATTAATATATACATATATATAAACAAGAAACTCTTGATGTCTCTGGGATTGAAATCACCATTTGGAGATCAGTCTCCCAAGTAGAGGGAGAAATGAACGCCTAACACACTCGATTAAGAAAGATGGGGAAGGGAGGAAGAGGATGATCACACATGAAAATATAAATGGGATGGGTGGGGGGCAGCCACCTATCCAGAACCCATAATCCAGTTGGCGGTGCGATGAGGAAATCATACGATTCAGACATAAAGGCAGGAAAATAATTGGACTCCCAAACTCGACAAGCGAACCGACAGACACTAGCCAAGGGGATATGATCACATACTCTGGTCCAGAGATCAAGCACAGAAAGTACCACCCCCACAGTGCCGAGGGGCGATAAAGGATCACCCCTATTCTAGGAATGGGGAACAAACGCCCTCAAATCCAGCCCTAAGGGGGGGGGGCAACGCCCCCCAGGCTAGGCCTCGCCAAGGTCAGGAGCAGAGACGGCCCCGAAGCCAGCCCCTCAATCTCGGCCAGAGCTACCTCTACTCCTCACACCCCCTCCCCAACCCACACCCTCCCCTACCTGATATGGCGGCGGCGGCTCCTGATCCGGCTCCGTCCCCTCGCCAAAGCTAGCCCGGTCGGACTGAGACTCGTGAAGCAGGGAGATGTCATCCGAGGTGGGGGATTTGAGGCAGTTCCCCATCTTCTGGGGCGAGGATGTGTGATCTGGGGGAAGAAGAAAGCAGTGGCGGGGTCGTTCGCACGCTCCCCGGTCAGCCTCCGTCGGTGAGGTGGGGTCAGGCGGCAGGCCGGGGTTCAAGCGGCGGCGGCGGCTCCCGTTCCGGCTCCGTCCCCTCGCCAAAGCTAGCCCGGTCGGACTGAGACTCGTGAAGCAGGGAGATGT